AGCTGTCAGAAATGATAAAACAGTCTTTAGTGACTAAAGTACGAATTTTCTCATATTGAAGAAATTATTTATGCTGAATAATTCCACATAACCATTCCTCGACACTTGAAAAAGGATAATATTTCGAAAACCGGTTCGTGTCAATTGCGTAAGTTTTTGTTTTACTTGTTATAATTTTTCACATCATTGTTAGCGTTATTTATCACCTAAATATATATTTTTTTGCATTTTTCATCTTGCTTTATATATCCCCAAACCCAGTTTGACTTATTTGCATAATTTGATCCCAACATTTTCACGCTAGCATATACAGTTTCCTCCTGTTACATCCGCTGTACATTCCCTTCTAACCCCAAGTTATTTTCATTATGCTCCCCAACTACAACAACCACTGGCAAGAAGCCAGAAATAGAAACACTAATCGTCAACCAAACCAATATCACGTACCCTACAACGGCCCTGTCTTCCATCGACCTCTACCACCTACCAATCGCCGACCACCAACCAACCCATCCAGCTATATCCCACCCCATCGCCGACCTACCTACAACACAGCCTACCAATCAAGAGGTAACCATCGACCTGACCAACAACAGAAACGACTACCAGCCCACCGACGCCAACCAGTCCCCACTCATAAGGAGGAAGAACCCTTTGTGAAGGTGTTCTTCCAAGTTTTGCAGTGCCTCCATCATTTGGCAATCCTTACCCTTCAACAGCAAGGCCAACCAGCGTTTACCTTCAAACGCAAAGTCTCTGAGTTGGATAGTTTTATCCGTCCAGCAATGAAAACATCAGCTGTCGACGCGAATATTAGATCCCTCAATCGGACATGGCTCTGTAAGGTTACGCAGGTCCTGATCGACCATTACCAAACCACACTTCAAGAGAAGCTGACCACCATTCGTACTAAGTCTTTATCATCACCTGCCGTCGACCGCATCGTTTCTCATGCCCTGTCCTGGGCCCGTCGCTCCTATGGAAAACGTCTCACTCAAGCTGTAATTTCCAAATTCTACCAAACAATCAACGAAACAAAACTACCAACTGAAATGGACACTACACCTGCACCATCTAGAGCTACCACGCTGCCGAACCAAACCCCTAAACGAGCCCGAAGTTCACCTACTCCTAGTCCAGCAGACATAGGTAAACGCTCGCGTAGAGAGGGCACACCTCTTCTCTTTTCACTTTCAGACTCGTCTTCCCCTTCCACACCATCTGAATCTTCACCACGTGATCCAGGATCCGCCAACCTTTCTTCCTTCTGTGCGTTTTTGGACCAGCAAACCACCCCTCAGTCTCCATCCAAGTCGAGACATGTATCCAGACCTTCCCCTCCTTGAACCAGATCCCAGTCCGTTCCCAATGCTACAATTCTAACAACTACCAAACCAGTACCAATCACACCGTCGACGACCATTATATCCGCTACCAAACCGTATTATCACCAAACCAAGGACAAATCATTATGGAAACTACCTGCTCTAAAGAAATCAACCTTAATAATTGGATCATCTAACCTGAATCGAATTACCAAAACCAGTTCGGACACCGAAATACATTCTTACCCCGGTGCCCAAATCCATCACATACAGTCAATCCTGGAATCATACGACCATGATCCCAAACCTACTACCATTATTCTTCATGTAGGCCTCAACAACCGTGATCAGATACCAAAGACCTCCTTTAACCAAGCCCAGAAATTAATCGCCACAGCCAACAAAACCTTCCCAAACTCCAAGATCCTCTTCACATGTATACCCAGTTCAAATAAAATCTCGAAGAAAGCACAACAGAACCTCAGCACCCTCAACAACATGATGATGGAGTCCAGTATCAACAGCGCAACAATCTTACCACCCTACGAAACAGTTGATAATCTTCATTGGTCTCCAGAAACAGCAAACAGCATTTATTTGTTTTGGATACACCAGCTTCAAGCATCGAGTAAGTCTTTAAACTAATTACTGGGGATAAAAATACTGAGAGGCCACCGCTAGGCCAAACTGTAGTTAACTTGGGCCGCAAAATTCTCACACCCCTTCAGCATTCAATCTTAGACCGTGGACTTAAGTTTATTCTCACACCAAAGATAGCTAACTTGAATTATCTCCGACCATCCATTGAACGATTTCAACGAAATCTTAGCTGCACATATTTTTTTCGAAACCACCCCCCACGTGGTGCTAGAACAATGTTTATTCCTAAATCCACGTGGACACCCCCTCAGGCCGCCATCCATTCTGAAATATTGAAAGCATTTGCTAGTATGAATAGTCAAACAGTGAACCTTTCCATAACACACGAAAAGCCTAATCTCACACGAGTGGAACGTGAAGCGTTAAACTTACTTAAGAAAGACGATAGCATTGTTATTAAAAAGAGTGACAAAGGTTCATGTTGTGTCATTCTGAATAGGGAGGATTACGTTTCAGAAGCAGAGAATCAACTGAATAATTCTAAACATTATGCCATTTTACCGAAACCAATTTTCAAAGAAACTGCTAACATGATTAATAATATTCTTGCCGATTTAGTCAAAACTAGTTATCTCAAACAGAAACAGTATGACTATCTGTCTGCCAAACCTGATTGTCGCGAGAGACATTTGTACACTTTGCCTAAAATCCATAAGAATCCAACCAAGGAGTGGTTTATCTCGAATAAAATCCCTAAAGGCCGCCCGATTATATCTGACTGTGGTAGTGAGTCATATGCAGTGTCAGAATACATTGATCATTTCTTACTACCTCTAGCATGCCAACATCGCGCCTACCTTAAAGACACAACCGATTTTGTCAATAAAATAAAAAATCTTCGAGTTCCCTCTAATGCTATTTTAATTTCTATCGACGTTTCCTCTATGTATACCAATATCGATAACACTACTGGTTTAACGGCAGTTCGTAAAGCTTTTAATAGAAACCCAGATCCAAACAGACCCGACGATGCAATTCTACAGCTTTTAGAGATTTGTCTTAGTCGAAAGACATGGGGGAATTTCTCTTGAAGGTTCTTATAGTGGGCATGAACTATCTTGCTTGCTCGATTGCTGGTTGTATTAAACGGGACACCAAAGGGTGCTATGCCTACATTATGATGAATATTTAGTCCTATAGGTCTTGCTGTATTCAATGTCTCAATCCAATGGGCCTCCCTAGATTGACGGAATTTGGTAGTTTCATCTTCGAGCAAGTCAATTTCTATACGCTCAATTGGGATTAGGGTGAGGTCGTCTATTGAATGGTCGTCGAGGTTGAAATGATTAGAAACGGGCTAGTCTTTCTTTAATTTGATGTCTGACCTGCTTATCAATTCCAATGATCACACCAAGTTTCATCAGAATCAGTTGAAAACTTTAGCGTCAATCCTGCTCACAAACTATTTTTAACAAATTTCGCCGCATTTTAACAAAGTCAAGGGCAATAACTCAAAAACCGTTCATTGAAAATGCGTCAAGTTAAAACTTGTCCGAGATCTTATATGATAATATTTCCAAAAACAGCTCTGTCATTGAACTCAGTCCATTCATCGATGAAGATAATATCATTCGTGTTGGTGGGAGACTGAACATGTCCAAGGATATCGTGAATAAGAACCCAATTATTCTACCGGCAAAACACCATGTATCAACTTTGATCGTGAGACACTATCATGATAAAGTAAAACATATGGGTCGCCATTTCACAGAAGGTGCTGTAAGGTCAGCAGGTATATGGATAACTGGAGGAAAACATCTTATTTCTTCGATATTACATAAATGCATCACCTGTAGGAAACTTCGAGGAAAGGTTCAGGTTCAGAAAATGGCAGATTTGCTCCAGGGTTGGCTCTAGCCAGCCCCACCATTTTCAAATATTGGTTTAGATGCCTTTGGACCATGTCCCGTTATTACTTGGACACGTGGAGGTCAAGCCAACTCTAAAACTTGGGGCAATCATATTTACATGCCTTGTTACCCGGGCCATACACATTGAGGTTGTAGAGGAAATGTCTTCGTCTGCCTTCATCAATGCCTTAAGAAGATTCATAGCTATTCGTGGTAATGTTAAACTATTCCGTTCTGATCGTGCAACTAATTTCATTGGCTCAACAGATAGTTTGCGTATTGACTATAGAAGATGGACCTTTAAAGGATTATCTGTTGAATTCAGGATCAATTTGGCACTTTAACTCACCACACTCCTCCCACATGGGTGGAGTCTGGGAGCGCATGATAGGCGTTACCCGAAAGATTCTTGATTCAATGTTGCTTGAAATGCGCGGTAAGAATCTTACCCATGATGTGCTGACAACTTTAATGGCAGAGGTTTGCTCCATCATATGAACGCAAATATCATTTATTGGTTATTCTAATATCTCAGTTATGTAGTTTGTAGTAATTTTGTAAACTCTAACTGTAAGAGTAATTTTTCTGTATTTTCGTTACAGCTTTTTACCTCACTCATTCACGACTCATGCAAATAAAGATCGTTACTGATTCCTGGTTTGTGTGGTGTTTGATTGGTTTAAGGCTATCTGCATACCTCATAGAATACAAATAACTATTTGATAATATGTTACAAATACATGTGTTGGAAAATGTTTTCCAAAAAGGATGTAGGTTATAACATTATAGTTTTATGATGACCCTCCTCTCCACTCATCAACCAGTTGTCTAATATTACCTGTTATTACCTGACCTTGGGTCAATCACTTGGATACAACAGGTGTCATTAGCCGATAGGTTGAGGATAATGAAAATTATCAACCTATTAAAATTTTAATGTAAAATATAAAATATCACCTACTATATACATAAAATGACAATCCAATTATTTATCCAAAAATTTAAAAGAATAAATTTGAACCCATTTCCTTAATTAAAGGGAGATAATTATTAGGTTATTATGGACAGCTATTAATGCCAATAATTATTAATCTGTAATGATACTATGGACAGTTATTAATGCCAATAATGTTTTATACTAAATTAACAATCAGTTATATTTACCATGTTACATAATAGTAACGAGATCAAACAACACTTTAATCTGGTGAAAAACAAACAGAAGTATTATCATGACAAGCCATCAACTAATCAACATAAGAAGCTCCAACCAGGAGATGAAGTTCGTATGGCACCACAGAACAAAGCCAACGTATGGTCTCCAGCTATAGTAATCGAACACCACAAGTCACCTCGTTCGTATATTGTAGAATCAAACGGAACCAAATACAGGCGTAATCACAGAGATTTACGAAGCACAACTAAACAAGCCAACTCCGGAACACAACTAGTCTGCAACCCTCCAGAAGAACCTCAAACAGAAACTAAGTTAACGCCAAATAAGCCAGAACCAAAAGCTGACATATCCACAGATTCCCAACCATACACTACCAGACATGGAAGAGTGACAAAACCACCAAATAGACTAAATCTGTGAATATGAACTTTAAATAACTAGCTACTGAGCTAGTAAAGTGACACTATTTTACTTGTTAATGCATGATTTTTATTTTCTGGTTTAGTTTCTGTTCTCAGCTTCCATTAATCTTTTCTCCTGGTAAGGGGGGTGTAATATGTTTCAGTATTCAGTAACTGTTATTTCAACGATAAATTTGTGCTGTTAGCCAGAGCCAATGCACGGTTTGGTTTTGTGTATACCCAGTAGTTGTAACCTTGACCTTTAATAAACATGTCTGCTTCCATACAAACCTTCTAAATACATCACAGGAACCAGGAATATACAGTATTATAGCTTGGAATTTAAAAATTCAATAAAATTCTATCAAATGTATAGCTTTAAAATGTATATATAAACGAATTGCGGACTAATACACAGCTGGGAATGTACCCGATTCCTTCAAGGTTCACATCATATATGCCTAGCAATTTCAGAAAAGTTTTAGACTGAAATTTAGCGTCCAAAATGCCAGAAAACCATAGTCACCATTATGGTGGATATTTTCCTTCGCTACGGATACTAAAATGCTTATTTTAGTGTGCTCACAATGTGAAATGCGCACAATATTTATATTTTTCAAACCTAAAAAGTGTGCTTTTTTGAAATATTAAAAAAAATTGGATGAAATCCACCAAATAAAAAAAAAACGTGGTAAAATTTAGTTACCACGTTTTGTCTCCATAGACTAATATGTTGACATTGGCCTAATTTAACAAGTTACCACGCCGAGGTATAAAGCTGTAAGAGTACTTATGACTATTTACAACGCTTACCACGCCAGTGGTAAATAGCCACTGCCTTTATTTAAGGACCAATTCTGTTCCTTATTAATATAAATGAACTGTCGTTATTTATCGGAGATGGCTATCAGAAATGAAATGATATAAGTTGAGTTTTACGTCACAATTTTCTGCAGCTGATTGGACTTTTGATGAAGACATGTAAATGAGAGTATTATGCGTTCGAACATGGTCACGAAGGCTTCACTGATAGTTTAAAATGTTCGTCCGACCGTGGAAGTAGACCTTGGGATTGTAAGGACCCAGGAAACCATCGGGGACAGAACACACTGTACATTCAAAATTATTCATGGCTGATAGCAAAATCTTAGAATTATCTGAGGTTGCCAGAATTTCTATCTTAGTTATGAGATTTTTGCCCGAAAAACGTCTGCCTTTTTCGATGGCCTATATTATAATTTATTTTCTATTTTTTTGTAATGTCATTCGATATAAGAATTTTTTAGGTCATTTTCAAGAATTAAATATTAGTTTGTGTATCAGTGAATATAAAGGTAAAAACTTACTTTCAGCAACTCGGGCATAATCAGATCCAGCAAGGTGTCTAGACATAAGACCAAAATCGACTGATCCTCTTCTATCTCTGTAAGGTACATTGATACTGAATACATTGAATGAAGTGGTAGGAAAATGTGTGAGCCAAGAGTGTTCATGCCGACACAGCAGAATATTTAATAAAAAGTATTTTTATAAAAAGTATATGTAAATCAAAAACTGTTCATCAACATATTGAAAGAGAGCAAGAGTAAAGATGTTTATGCACATTCAGGTCTCATGCCAGTTCGACGGTATAACGCATTAGATTCAGAATGAACTTACGTAGAAATATATATATCATCCCTCGGTCCACAATTAGTTTGTGAACGCGATAGAGGCCACAGTTTTTATCCGATATTAATAAAATTAAGTGTGTAGGATTATATCAGAGTTTCAACCCTTGATTCACAGATATTGTGTTAAATACAATTCTTCTTTATTTGCACGTTTACAAGGCACTGGAGAATTAATTTTGATTAAATTGAATTAAATATTGTGCTCATGCCCATACATGTTGAACAATTTACAATTTCATATACAATTCAAATTAAATTTATTCAGTACTGTTGCAGCAAAGGTTTGAACAACAAGTTCGTTTTCTTCTCAACTTTTTATTTCTACCCTTCCAAGTCTACTATTATTCTTAACCACGAACAATTACAACCCAATACGTCAGTAAGTTTGTATGTTCCTCTTTCGTCCTCTAGTTTCCTGATCCCAAAGCCAAAATACCAAGATACTATTCCACTCAGCGTTTTCTTATTTATAATTTTGTTTATCTTTCTCATTGTTGAAAGGTTAATCTCTCTAGATTAACATTGATGTAGTAACCAATTTAGTTCAAATTCAATTGGCCGAAATGAAGGTGAAACGATGAATAAGGAATATTTTACTATGGTTTAGATATGATAACCTTTTAACCCACAAACTAGTGACCAAAGGTTATTGGAGAACGTAGAAGACTTGGTCAAGTATACAAAATACACTATTATTATAATATTCATTATACTAATATAAATAAATATATGCACACTACTGGAGTCTTTGTGACAGCACAATATCAATATATATACAATTCAATTCAATAATAATATTAAGAATACAATTTTTATACGCTCACATGAAATGGGAGGGGGGGGCGTATATTGCCGTCACTATGTCCGTCGTCCGTCCGCCCACAATTGCTCTACACTCTACAAGAAACAAGTCTTGACGGGTTTTGACGAAATGTTGGTAATCACCCAAGGATGAACCCTATTTAAAGAAGAATCGAAAAATATTTAGTATGAGTTATTGCTCGATCTCGAATAACAGGTAAGAGGTAAAATTGGTACATACTAGGGGGCTTTAATTTTCTGTGAACAGGGTTTGCTATTTAAGTTCAAAATCCTAAAAACAGGCTTGTCTTTCTTCAAATTGATATCCGCTTTATTAGCCGTATGTAGTTTCCTATATACTATTAAATTCGAGGTTTCACATTTTTTAGATGCTCCTGGATCGTGCAAGCTTAGTTGAAGTAAGCTGATCTTGTGCAAATTCAGCGAAATCGTAAAATTGTGCGTATGAAGGGGCGAAACACCTGTCTATAGCAGTCCCTGAAATTTGCAGATATGTAAATGTAAAATCATTACAAATTTCCTGAAGAATGTCTCCTCAGATGTTCTATAAAATAATTAAAATTGGTTGAATTCATTGACCCTGAAAACATATATCTTGACACAAAAATTATGTCTATTGGTGTCCTAGCAGCAAAGTTATGACTGATATAGTATTCGGAATATCGAGGATTGCGGCCATTTTTAATTCAATTCAATTTTCACGATGACAACCTGTTCATAGGGATTAAAAACCATCATAAACTAGAGCCACTCGTGGCACAGAGTGGGACTTTGCAAATGTAGCAAATTGGAAAAGACCCCGAAAAAATCATCCTTCCACGATAATTAGATCAAGCGCAAGAACGGTCTAAAGTTGAGAAATTTTCATTTTTTAGAAGATTCTAATACCGGAAGTAGACGTCAGACCTCACAAATGAAAGTATCAGCAGATAGCCAAGGTCAATGACCTTTGATCTTGTAAAAGAGAAGGTCTAAAAAGGTCAAGATCAAGAGATATACGTCATCAAAATTTCTAATTGCACACGACTATAAAACCGGAAGTTGACATAGGACAGCAAATATGAAAGTACAAATAGATAGCCAATGCCAATAAAGTTTGATCCTACAAAGGTCAAGGTCAACAAAGGTCAAGGTCAAAAATTGAAAATTTTGAATTTCCAAAACCTGTTCCTTTTTTTGAACTAAGAAGCGGAAACAACCGAACTTCTAAGACAAAGTGGCTCAATTCATGAGATAATTGTATGCAAAGTTCCATTTTGAACAAACGTATACTTTGCGAGTTATGCTCCTGGCCAAAAATATCAATAAGGAGTAATATTACCCGGATGTGCCACGCCCACCTTAATTTTTTTGCATAGGGTAATTGATATTCCAAATGTTATGTTGTGTTTCAAATTTCAAGCTTCTACATTATTCAAGTCAAAAGATATAGGTCAACAAATGTCAACAAAGGTCAAAATCGAAAAATGAAAATATCCAAAATGTTAAAACCCGTTCCTTTTTTGGAACTATAAAGCTGAAACAACTGAGCTGTTAACACAAACTGGCCAAAAGGATGAGGTAATTGTGTGCAAAGTCCCTTTTTCAAAAAACGTATCCTATGCCCCAGCCCCAAAATGTAAACAATTAGTAATTCAACCCGGATGTGCCACGCCCACCCCCTTGCCATAGGTGAATTCATATTCAAAGTGTCTAGTTGTATTCCAAATATCAAGGTTCTCCATAAAATAGGTCATAAGATATACATACACCAAGATCAAAAAGACACAAATATGGTAAAACAAAACTCAAATTTGAAAAAATCACGAATTTCAATTTTGCTTTAAAAAAGCAATTGTTCTATATCTATGTAAAGTGCATGAGAAGAACATTAGGAAACCGAAAAAATTAACCCTCTAGGTTAATTAGGTCACGTGTTAGAGCAGTCCAAAGTTGCGAATTTGGCTTTTTACGGATAGCTATAAAACCGGAAGAACATGTCTGGGGTCAAAGGTCAAAGTATCAAATGATAGCCAAGGTCAATGACCTTTGACCCTAAAAAGGTCAAGGTCATCAAAGGTCAAGGTCACGAGATACAAGCCTCAA